ACGCTGGATTCTGTTTGGCAAATTTGTAGACAGGACACAATAACAGCAGCAACAACAATCAAGGTTCATTGTTATGCCTACGTTGCACAATTTTGTGCAGAACATGCTTGCGATTTATTTGCCATCTGTACACAGAGACACTCATGCGTGCACACATACATATGTAAATATATATATACACACGTTCATACATACACCCACTCCCTCGCACATTTGGCCGCAAATTAAGCCAGGCACGTAGCTCACTTAGCCAGCCTAATCAAATAAACGCACCAAATTAAACATGAGAAGCAACAACAACAAAACACAACAGAAGCGACAACAACAACGGCCAAGCTGTGCAAATAGATGAGCTTAACACCTCGCTTACAGCTGCCATTGCAGACAAAAAAAAAAAAAAAAAAAAAAAACCACGACAGCGATAGCGGCAGCGCCATCTAAATCGAAAGCGTTCGCGCATAACAGTATGCTATATTTTTGAATACACTTCCCAATAGAGCCTATCAGTTTATTAACCAGCAGCTATGTTAAAGGAAAAGAAATAAATGAGAAGAGTGCATATTTTCAATATTTGATGGGCTTCCCATATATTTATACTTGTTAAATGTGGGTTAGGAACGACTAAATATCTGTTCCCTTCCTTAATGCTTAACACAGGATAAACAAAGAGGAACATTATTATCTATAGAGATATTTATTATTAAATTGTATCAAATGGAAAAGAAAATAGATGCTTGTGTTTTAATTATTTAGAGCATTTGTGATTGACTGGAAACATAGGAGAACTTTCACTCAACTAATGTGGACATTGAGCTGAAATATCACCAATAGTGGAAAATATCTGTAATTAAAATAAATATAAAATGGCTAATGGTTTTCTAGTAAACAATTTAAGATCTGCGACATAATTGTCCATTGAATAAAATCAATATGGAGAATCAATATTGGTAAAAAAAAGTAGGAATAATATTTTAAAATAATAACATCTTTCACATGAATCACACTCACGTCAGTCCTGTTATGATTAAATTTTTCGTAAATTTTTTTTTGAGGTTTTTTGCTTACTCAATCAACAATTGGTTTTAAATTGCCAATAAGTTTTATTTTTTGAGAATGTGAAATGTTTCTGTTTCATGATTTTGTGTTGTCGACTAAAGCAGACGTAAAAGCCAGTATACTATAGCCTTTCAGAAGTAGAAATTAAAGTGCCTTTAAGGAAATAAAACCTTTTTTCAATCTAACACATCCTTATTAAAAGATTTTTTATAATGTACTGGGCTCGGTAAATAATTTTATGGGCCTCATTTATGACTTCTTGTACTGTATAAAAAGTGTATAAAAGTAGCTGTTTGGCTTGCAATTATAGAGTCTTGGGTTTTTTTTTGTTATTGTAAAGTAATCTGAGCAAACATAGAGATGTCGGTCTAAGCCATCGCCAGTGACTTGCTAGGACTGAGCTCATCAATGTTTTAATAAGTTTATGTAGTTGCCGCCATATTAATTATACGCCATGTTGTGCCAGAACACACACTAAACAGATTTGAGCAAGCGGGCGCACTTGATTGGTTTTCGGGTGAAGCTTGAATCGAACGTGGCAGCTGTGAGCGGGTGGGGCGAGAGGAGAGGTGAGAGGTGAGGTGATTAAACAATGTCTGATTCATAAGCTTTTGACGTGGGTGTGCCATACACCAACACACACACACACACACACACACACACATACATACATACACATATACACAAGTTCGCACAGAATTGAGTGTTTGCTTGAGTGGTTTTTGGAGTGAGTCTCTGAAGTGTTGACTGCCTCTTGAGCTGACACTCAGTTGGCCCTTGAATAGCGGACAAAATGAGCCATCAGCTAACAGCGTTGCTAGGGCGCTGTTGTTTAGCTTGGTTCTTCTGATTACTTTCATTGGCTCTGCGGCGCTGCGTTGTTGCGCTGCTACTCTGCGACTCTGTGGACGGTGTTCTGTATTCCTATATTCTGTATTGTGTGCTTCCCAGCCCACAGCCCTGAGCTGTTTATCAAGCAACGTGCTTGCCAAGTTGTTTACATTTTTTAACATTTTTGTTTACTAGCAAGCAGCACGTGCTGACAGCCTGTCTGTTTGACTGTCTGCCAGTCTGCCTGTCTGCCTATCTCATTGTGTGTATTGAGCAACAGACAGCGCTGAGAGCGAGAGCCTACGCTCATTTTTCATGCATATTTCATGCAATACGGCTCGGTGAGCTGTTTATGCTTGTTGCCTTGTGCTTTGTGTCTTGGGCCACTAATCGCGATTGTTGTCATGCTAACCGTTGTTGTTGTACTCGATGTTTCTGTTTTCGTTGCTGGTAAATGGCAAAACATGCACACTTCATTATTTCAGTCTCATTGTTGTTGCTGTTGCTGTTGCTGTGGATGCTGCTGTCTTGTGTTCACTTTTGTGGTCGTGTGTGTCGTTGGTAAGTTGTTCCTTTCTGGCCATACTCGCGTTGCCTGCCCCACTAGCCTGCTGCTCCTCTTTTATTCATGCACAGGCTTCCAATGAGCACAGTTGGGCGGGCACTTTCATTTCTACATAAGTATAATACTTGTATTTGCTGCCGTTGCCGCTGCTGCGACGGCTGCTGCTGTCTTGGCAAATTTTCTTCTGTGATGGGCGCTAAATTTTCAATTTCGTTGCTGTTAGCACAAAAACATAAAAACTTGCTTACATACTCGTACTCGCATAATCAACAAGTCAGACACCGCGCTGCCGTTTACTTTGACCGTCGCATTAATGTTGGCCGTGCCGTTGTTCCAGAAGTCTGTTTCAACCACACTTTCTCAACTATGCTGCCTTCGAGCACCACTTTCAGTTCCCAATTCCCATCCTCCCATCCGCCATGCTCCCCATTCCCGAAAATGTGTGCCAAATGCTGCTTATGGACAGAAGCTACAGCATTCCCACAACAAACAAGCACAGCGAAAAACTTTGGAATACGCAGAAAACGCAAATCAGTGCTGCGATCTGAATTAGTGAGTACTGTGAACTAGCTCATTTGGATATAGTACTTACAAGTATATGGAGGAAAAGTTTTTACTTCAAAATTATGTGTCTTCTTAATTCCTATTCTTCATTGTATTTTAATTGTATTTTTAATTGGCAGCTCTCTGAGAAATTTGCACGCTATCATTTTCACAGCACTGCAATTCCTTTATTCCTTCAACGCTTTTAATGGAGTTGAAATGTACTTCTTCGGTATTAAACTGTTAAATTCTATATTTAATTTCAGCTACAATTTTGATATCTTTAGTTTGCTGAAACTATACAATCTATAAGGAATTAACTCCTGATGATGGGTCTTTTTGCAATTGATTGACTGGAAAACTACACACAAATAACCAAATAACCATTTAATCAAATAAGAAAACAAATATTCCTCTTGGCCCTCTATTGATTTCTTACCTCATAGAAATTTCCTAATCCCTTTGGTCTGGCAAATTAGAGATTCAAAAAATACTTGTGGGATTGATAATTGAAAAAATGAACTAATTTGTATACCCTGTACCCGTAGGGTAAAAAGGGTATATTAGGTTTGTGCAAAGTAAGTAACATACAGAAGGAAGCATCTCCGACCCCATAAAGTATATATATTCTTGATCAGCATGACGAGAGAAATCGATCTAGACATGTCCGTCCGTCCGTCTGTCCGTCCGTCTGGATGAACGCGAGGATCTCAGAAACTATAAAAGCTAGAATAACCAAAGTTGGCCAGATTCTCCTAGGTCCGAGTAAGGACGAGTTTATTTTATTTTTTGGAATTTTCCCCCCCTTCCCCCGCTGCAGAATTTCGTCAATTGCGTCCACATTTCAAATGCTACCTAAACCAAACTTTGCACACATAATTTATAAATAAATATCTACTGTTGTTTTATTCAATTCTGTCGATTCTAAGAAAAGTTATTAGCGAAACAAATTCTCGCCAGTACAACCCCCACAAACTGCAGCAACAAGTTCGCTCTTCTTTTTCCTCTTTTTGCTGCTGCTTTGGGCGCATATAACTCAGTGACGGAAGTTTACCTGGGTACAGGGTATTACACTGTCGGGCTTGATCGACTGTAGCGTTCTCTCTTGTTTAATCTTACAAATATTTACAATTTCCTTGAAATATTAATTTGTGTTATTTCTTGTCTTAAAGCTCTAAGAAATTGGAAGGGTCGTAGAAGATGTGTATTAAGAGTACTTAATATCTTGTTTGTAGTTATTGAAGAGGAAAATGTAAATCAAATGTCTCTTTCTTTCCATATGCTTCACTCAGCGAGTTACTAGAAACCATTTCTTTGATCTAGCTCGGCTTGCCAGCACTCTGATGAAGACAAATTCATATTTTATACATACATACATACTATATAAGCTGCCCAGTGCTTAGGCCTTTGTGTTTTGGTTGCTGCCTGAAGCCACTGGGTATAACTTTCACAAATATAGGCAGGCAGGCATGTGTGTGTGTGTTTGGTTGTGTGTATATAAAAAAAAGTATAAATAAAACAAGATGCTACTACTTCTTTTTCTTCTTTTGTTATTGCTGTTGGTGTTATTGTTTTTTTCTCATTGTATTCTTCTGGTGCGTTTAATTTGTGCTTAAATTTAATGTTTGTTTATTTTTATTGCACAGAAAAGTTTCACTTACACGCTAAAAACACTGACAAATCACACCCAGTTTGTTGCTAAAGCACACACGCATACACAAGGCACGTGCTAGTATGTGTGTGTGTGTGTATATATATATATGTGTGGTCCCTTATGTGCATAGCTGGTTGTATTCATTATAGCTTAACATTATTTTGGTTTATATTTGCTTAATATGCGAAAATTGTATTTCATTTCATTTGATTTCGTCACTTCCCTTCCCTTCGCCAGTCAGCCCTGTCAGTCCCATTAGCGCTGTCGTACATTTCTTCGATGTCGCCCATGTCGTCTCTTAATCTCACGCAGCGCTCGTCATGACGTCGACCCACCGCCGAGCCGAGCCATTCACACAAAAGGATGCCTTGTGCGTCTTTTCGCCTTTTTCGGATAGTCATAACCCTCAAAGTCATCGTCGATGTCGTCGTGCTCGGGCTGTTGGTGGTGATGATGATGGCTGTGATGATGCTTTTTGTGATCATGATGTTCCTTGACCGGCACGGGAATGGGCAGAGGCACTTTCTTTATGACCGTCTTGGTGTGCACATGTGTGTGATGTTTGACGGGCACGTGTATTCGAATTCTGAAAATGCAGAGGCCAGATGACGCAGATGAAGTCATGCCCACCATAGTCGAATGTTGTTGAATGATTGTTTGTATGCATGTATGTGTGTGTGTGTGTGTGTGTGTGTGTGTGTGTGTGCTTGTGAGTGGGCGTATCAAAGAGGCGTGACTCACGCCGGCATATCACTTACTTTAGCTTCTCGCCTGATGGATAGCCGCTTGTCAATGCAAACACCATGCAAGTGATAAACACAAAGCTTAATGCCTGCAAACAAACAAAAGAGAGAATAAGAAAACAGAATAGGAACAGAATAGAACATTTTGCTGTTGTTCGCTTTACTGTGCGTATGCGTGATAAAAGGTACGTCTCGCACATAAACAGACAATGAAATTAGCATAATGTGCACTTTGGCCTTTTATATACAGATATACAGGCCTATTATTAGCGCCAAATCCGATTTTGATTGCTGCTTGTTAACGTCAATAACTTTTTGATAGGCTCCACAGCAAAGTACCAATGAACCTTTTATATTAGTTACTGGTCTAAAGGACAAATGTGGCTGCAGTTACAAAACGTACAAGAACTTTGGGGTTTTTAGCTAAGACTTAACACTGCAGTCCATAATAAAACAAATAAATTTCAAAATAATCGGATAAAATATCAAAGGAAATAAAATGTTATCATGATTTCATGAAATTGAAAAGCTAAGTAAGGACTAAGAGTGCTTAAATATTAAAATATGAATGGAACGGCATCTCTGTTATTTGTCCATTTGAAGATAGTTGAACTGCCTTTTACTGTGATACAGATTTGCACCATATAGTATAATTCAAAACGGAATTAATGGCATCACACAATACCATTAACGGCATAAAAATGTGAATAAAAATATATATAATTTTCCTCATATTTTACTTGTTTTTAAACTATTTTCAAAGTTTTTGTTAACTTGAAATTAAAGGAAATTAAAACTGTTTAAACATTCTTCATATTATATGGACAGTCCTCCGTAGTTTAAAGACATCATTTCTAATACATACTGATACACTTTTTATATTTGCTGTTATTTTTGCTGTTTATAACATACTAATCATTTATCAAAAATCAGAAAATACAGTTTTAATAAAATAAATGAATTTCCTTTTAAAAAGCAAATAAATTGATAATTAAAAAGAGTAAAAAAATTAGAAGCCGCTAATGTATACGTATGTGTGTATGTATGTTAGTTATATCAAACTTTCTTTAGGCTTTTGAGCTAAACAATCACTTGAAAATCTTGCTGACGCTTAAGGCAATCTTTTGAATACCACAGTGTGTGTGCCTTACAACCCGCGCGTGCAACAAAGTGTTAAGAAGCTTACGAAATAGAGAGACTGTGGCTCAGCCTTTGGCCAAAATCAATTTGTTTGCTATTCCTCAACTTTATTATCATTAGGCGTGTGGATAGGAATACTTTGTTATCGTTTTAAATTTTGTTTTGTTAATCAATTTTCGGGTTCCATATATTTGTGTTCCCACTTAACGGCATAGTCCTGCTCCACTGTCGCATTGTGGTAATCTAGCAGGATTACCCGGAGCGATTTCAATCAACATTGATGTGGTTTTTGTGCCTACGCAACATAATTGCTTGCCACTGCGCCAATTTCTATAAATTGAAAATTTCAATTTCACAAACGAGTACATACACCTATGTACATACAAAGCTGAGAGTAATTCAACATCAATTTCCGGATCATTACACATTTGATTTGCCATGGCGTGGCGTGTGCCACCTCAGCCAGCACAGGAGATGTGAAGAGGAAGTTTCTAAATTCTGAATTCAGACTGAAGTGTTGCCTTAATAGTAAATTTATATATTGGGAATATAATGTATACGCACTGTTGGTATGTGAATTAAAAATTTAATACATGGACGCGCACTCTTAGCCGGCACAGGAGATGTGAAGAGGATGTTTATAAATTTTGAATTCAGACTGAAGTGTTGCCTTAATAGTAAATGCATATATTGGAAATATAATGTATACGCACTGTTGGTATGCGAATTAAAAATTTAATACATGGGCGCGCACTCTTACTTTAATTCAATTTGAAAGCAAAAATGGAATTTGCATATTGCATAGCGATTATTAGTTCAGTTTTTGTTTTGTATTTAATTTGCAATTGTCTTGTCATTTATTTCTTAATTTCACGCGCCATTGCAGTCAATGAATGTTTTTGTAATTGTCTTTGCGAAATGTTCACTTTTCGTATTGTTTCCACACTTTTTTCTTCTCACTTAATTACGTAATTTTGTACTTTCTAAGCAGCTTTATTTACATAATTTGTTTGCTCGCTGCTTTCGGCGAATTGGAAGTGAAGTCTTTGGTTTATTGCTGAATTGTACATCGTCGCCCTGGACCAGTTTTATTTATTATTAAAATGTGCATTTAAAAGCGGCTTGTTTGCATTGCTTTACTCGTTAATGTTTTCAATTGTCATTCAACAGAGACTGAATATTTGCCCTTTTAAATACCTCCCCCTTTTTGTCCAACATAATCATCGCATTAAGGCACTTACTCCTCTGGGCAAACACATTTTCACGCCTTGTTTAACACGTTGTCCGATGCTTTAATTAGTTTTTTGATTCTCAATGTGAATGTGAATGTGAGTGTGTGTGTGTAATTTGTTTTGTTTTTTTCTTTTTAATTATATCGCGTGGGCTTATCTCGACGGAGTTTGCGTAGCGAGCGACCGTTTTTCACAAATGTAAAAATGAAATTGCGTTTGGGCAATGCGCGTACATTCGCTTAAATATAAAAAACAGCTAGACAACAACAAAAAAATTGCCGCTGCTACAGTGAAACGTGCCAGTTGTGTGGCACCAACTAGAAATGAAAACTTCAAGCTGCGAGAGAAAGAGAGCGAAGAAAAGCACAGCGACTACCACCATCACCATCATCACCACTAACACCAACAACACCAACAACAACAACTACAGCAACAACATCAACTGTAATAATCGCATTGAAGTTGTTCAGCTAGAAACAAATGAAACAAAACAACAACGAAAAACACAATCAAGCGGCCGACAACGAGTTTATAACCTAACAAGTGAACAAGTGGGAAATGGGTGGGCGGGGGGCTGGCGCAGGGGAGGGGTAGGTGAGTCAACTTGTTAGTTTCATTTGCAGAGTGCGACAACAAGGCAAGGCTTCGTGGCAATGGCAACGATGTGGGCAGCAGCGCCACAAATATGAATCTGCGTTTGCCTCCACATTGGTTACAACATGCCCTACAGATGAAAAAGTTAAGCTTGTGGGCGTGTAATTTAATAGGAAACAGCAAAATAGCTTACACTTTTAAGGAAAGCAATTAGTTTATTCATAAAAACAAAAGTTAATGCTTCACAGTGACATGAAGGCCATGATTATATACTCGTAGGTATCTAAAAATATTGTATTTTACCAATTAGAACATCAAAGATACCGCCTACAGCTAAGTGTAAAATTTGAGAACTTTTATCAGTCAATATGAAAATTCTAAAGCAGAAATATATGTCGTTTTTGGAAAAAATGTTTGATTTTTTTCGACAATTACTTCAACAATAGGATATTCCTAATTTTCAGCCAAATGTAATCAGGAATATTAAGGATGCAGGCAATAAAGAGTCTAAAATAATTTTAAATGAATGGCTGCTCATCTTTATTTTGTTTGTGTAAAATAGTTGAACTTTATTGTTGCCTTTACCACCATCATCCTTCAATGTATTTCGCACCTCAGGCAAAACGATGCCAAATGGTAAATATTTTAAATTAAAACCAAATACATTGCCAATTAGCTTAAGTTTGCAAAAATGTATGCTATTTAAAAACAAAAACAAACAAAGTGGAAACTTAGTTTTCTTTCTCTTCTGAAATGTTGACTAGTGTGTTTAAATGAACATACTTGTATTTCTAACAACCGGCCAGGCTTCTTTTAAAATAAAAAACGACATTTTTAAGAACTGGGACACGATGATAAACTAAAATAAACAAACACTCTTTTAAAATGGGGCTACTTTTTTCATTGAATCATTTTCAAATCTAATTAAAAGTTAGTGAGGAACAAAAAAAAATGAAGGCGCTTTTCATTTACATTGACTTTAAGAATTTCTATAAATAGCTGGTTTAAAAATTGTGGAGCAATTTGGGGTTTAATTTGTTCAAAGAAATATCGCTTTACTTAACTTTTTGAGCCAATCCCATAATTAATATGCCGTTCCCGGTGCATTTTGTGTAGTGTGCGACAATCTTTAAGTCATGGGTGACAGTGAAAATACAACAATAATGGCAACAACAATAACACCATCCTAAACAACAACAGCAATGACAAACATACATAGACACACACACAGATACAAAGCACATCTACATTAACAACTGCGAGCAAAGCGAACCAAACAAGCACTGAAAAGCGGCAAAGTCAAAAACGTAATTGAAGCTTATGCCTCAGTTAAACGCAGCGATTATGTCGGTTGGATTTCATGGCGCGACTGCGGCTGCGACGGCTTCAGCTGCGGCTGCCAGAGCCGGCAGACAAGCGACAACACAATCACCGCCATGCGGCAGCATCATCGCCACCAAAAAGCACAACCAGCAACAACCAGCCGCGCTCCATGGTGCAGGTTCAGCAAGGATTATGCAGTGTCTGGTATGTGCGTTTGGGCGCGCTTCCTGGTTGGGCGCTGCCCAAAACATTTCGAATGGCCGGCTCTAACGAATGGAAATGAAGCTGTCGTCAAATTGAGTTGTTGCAGGTACGCTGAAAAATGTCGTCGCCATTTGAATGCAATTGGTTGTCAGTCGTGCCACCCGCCTGCAGTTTCCCTGCAATTTGCATTCACTCGATTGCCATTCTAGCCACTGGCAACAGACAAGAGGCGACACCAAACAATTGGCCGCTGCAAGCAGGCGGAACACCACTGCCTTCATTATCGTCCCTTGTGGTGCGGCACCAGTGCAAGAGTCTACGATATTTTAATATAAAGTTGGTAAGGAAGATTTGTAGTAAAATAAATACAACTATAATATGAAACTTAACTTTTAAATGATATTTCTACAATATTTCTTTGCAATAAAAAAAAGGTGGAAATGCTTGAATAATTACAATGAAAAATTTATATAAAATGATAGCCGGTGTTATCATAAACTGATAACATTGAGTTGAGAAGATAGCTTAAAATAAGCATAGAGGCTAATCCAAAAAATATATGTTTAACAAAAAAGGAAATAATCATCTATGACTGTTCATTTGGATATTTGAAATCGAATCGAAAGTGAAACGGCGCCTGTGTGTTTGATAAACCAGTTGAACCATTGAGCCACTGAACTTAACGGACTCATAGCTCGAATGCCCGGTTGGCTGAAACTCCGGAAGCGGTCTATTTCGGAGACTAATGGAACTCGTTTGCAGGCGCACGCACATTGAATGTGCGGTTGCATAATCCCAACAATGCCAACAAAGTGCCATGGCTCATAACAATTGCTGGCTAATAGAAAAGTCAAAGCAAGACTGAAACAGAAACAACAAAAACAACAACAACAACGGCAGCAAAAGAGTAAACAATAGCAATAACAACAACAGCATATTTGTAGACATGACACTTCATTGCCTCGTCAAGCCTTGCTGTTCGCATCACGATTGCTTAAGTCGCTCAACGAATTTTCCAGTTGAATCGAGTGAGCAGCATAAGTCGGGCTGTAAATGCTATATGCACATATATTGTGTGTACAACTGAACATATATAGTATGTATATATTTGTATCAGTATAACAATGGTACATTTTTATGTTTATGGCATTTTAATTGGTTGACTGTTATGCCAGTTGTGCGGAAAACATTTTTCGCGCGCACATTTTTTTTTTTTTTTTTGTATTTTATTTTGGCAGGTTTGCCGCCCCAACATGCTGGCAATTAATTTTGATGATATAATCACAACTAGCCCGTCCAAATATAGTGTCAAATGAGGGACCGGTTTAGAGCAGTACACAGAGGCCACGCCACCATCGGGCGAATGTCAAAGTACGCCAAAGGAGTTGCAACTGGGATCAGATAATTAGCAGCAAATGAAGTAAATGTGACAGCGAAATGAAGCGAAATCAAATCAAATCAAAGCGGAAGTAAAATATTTGCTCCAGCCCCTCCCCAAAAACAAAACTGAAAGCCTTTCAATGAAAGCGCGCACAGCGCAAATATTTGTGCACAAAATAAAAGAAATGAATGAATAAAATGATACAACAACTAAAACAACAACAACTAAAACAGCAGCAGGAAAAAAGTGGCACAAGGCCAAGGGACACGAATAGTGGCTCGCTCGCCTAACTGTTGAATGATACATTAGACGCCAGGCTAGTTTGGCAATATACCGCTTTTGGCTGACAGTAAGAGCCTTTCACTTTTTCTTGCTTGCGGGCGCTAAAGGATTATCCAACTGCGAGCCGGAAACCCATACATCAGCCATGCAGGCATTTCCTTTAACAATATATTTCCACTTAACTATGTCGGTCGACTGGACGGGGCGACGACAAACAGCCCGCCAGCCACACAGCCAATTGTTAACATCTGCTTGTTGATTTTGGCCGCTGTGACACAATTTTCCAGTTGTATTGTGTGGCTTTTTATATGACAACAACAACTACAACAACAACAACAACGACACGAACAGCAACAACAGGAGCGACAACTTGACCAAAAAGCGCGCAATAAATTTAATTGACGGAAGAGCGTTTCCAACTGCAGCTGCAAATATTTACACAACATTCATACATACATACACACACACATACACACACACACATACATACGGGTACTTATATGCATATGTTTGCATAGCCGTGTATTCGTGTCGATTTTCATGTATTATGAGCGGCCAATCAAGCATTCAGCCGCTTCAGTGAGGCAAACGACACTCGATTCATTTCATTTGCATGTCGAATGCCATAATTTATGACCCAAGGATGAATGCCGCAAAAATTGCTCGACTTCATGGGGCAAGATGTACGGCATTTTGCAAAACAGTTATGGCCATTGCAACGACCAATTCATGACTTCATAATGCACTGCGGCAAAAGAAAAACGATTTAATCGACCGCAAAGTAAATAATTCGATATGGCTTTGAAGTCCAGCCCCATTTGATCGATTATAATGGATGTAGATCTGAAATACAAAAGCACTTACCACTTCATTTCCAGAGACATTTAACATTTCCAAAGGCTGTTTATATTTAATTTCTATAAATTTACTTTCATCTTTAATATCAATGGCGCTATTTTAAATTTTATACGCTTTATTATTAAAATAATTTTGTTGAGATAGGGCCTGCGAGGCCCAAATTCTAACATAATATACAGCCAGATTTCAAAATATCCTATGACTGTGAGTTAGAGAACTAAACCTCCCCTTTCATCTTAGAAATACTCTTTTCTTTTGTGCGAGAGGTTCGCTGATATATTATTTATAATTATATTATCAATCAAAACAGTCCACAAGTATCCACAACAATGGCACTTGTTTCAAATTTAGCTGGCTGGCCCAAATTGATTTTTTATTTATTTAT